CCTGCCTTTCAGGGTGGCAGTAAGGACCAGTGACCAGGCCGGCCAGCCCCCAGCACCATGCTGGTCCCCAGCCGGGAGACTACCAATTTGGCCTGGTCATGGCCCACCATGCAGGCTCGACCCTCCACGCTCCCCGTGCCCAGCCCTACCCCCAACTCAGGCCTCAGCCCTCAGGGCAGGGGGCAGATAGGAAAAGCAGGGAGGCCCCGGGGCTGGGGGTCTGCCCCTAAAGTGATGTGGGAGGGGGATGAGCAGGAGGATCTGGGGGTGGGCACATGTGGACAGCAGCCTGGGGTCTAATGTAGCCCTTGGCTTCCTGCCTCAGATGAGCTCCCTGAGGAGGGGCAGCTTGGGAGGAATAGGGGGCCGCCCCCAGCACTGCGGAGGCTATGCGTGTGTCACATGTGTGGATCTCTCTGGAGCCCCAGCAGGGCCTTTGGATGGCTGTGCAAATGGGAGACCTGCTCATCTCGGGAACTCCCACCCAGACCTGGCTCGGTCCCGCAGCCTCCGTCCCCAGCCCTGCGTGTTGGACATGCCCAGGCCAAGCCCCAGGAACGCCAAGGGACCTATCAGGGCCCTTACCAACCAGCCCCATGCAGCCTGGGGTGGATTCCCCTGTAGGGGCCTTCCCAGGCTCACCTCCTTGCTGGAAGCAGCTTCCCTCCCAGCCTGAAATCCCCAGGACCCCTGTGGCCTCCTCCCGGGCTTTCCCCGCTGGCCACTGACCACACTGCAGGCCACAGATGCGGGGGTCCAGAGCACGGCCGATGAGGCTGGGGAGAGCCAGACCAGACCAGCCATGGGGATTCAAATCCTTTATTGACAGTGGAGGTGAGGCCAGCCCTCCCTGGCAGGCTCTGGGTACATCCCCCTAGTATGTTCTGCTGGGAGCCGGGCACCAGGGCAGGCGTGGGGGCAGTGAGTAGCCTAGGACTCAGACTCAAACATCTTCTTCCGGCCCTCCATGCCAGACTTCTCCTCGATGTTCTTCCTCCAGTCACCCACGTCTCGCAGGTCCCGCTCCTGTGGAGGGGAAGGCAGGAGAGAGCTCAGGCCCCCCCACTTATGTGTGCACCCTGGTCCACACCACCTTCAGCTTCAGTTTACCCTCTGCTTTGGGCAGTGGAGTGTCACCTGCATGGCACCCTGGAGGGGCAGTGGTGCAGGGCTCCTTGCAGGGCAGGTGTGGGAGGTGCTCCCCAGGGACAGGGCAGGTGTGGGAGGTGCTCCCCAGGGACAGGGCAGGTGTGGGAGGTGCTCCCCTGGCAGGGCAGGTGTGGGAGATGCTCCCCTGGCAGGGCAGGTGTGGTGGTGCTCCCCCCGCGGCACATACCTTCTCTGTGTCCTCCTTCTTGACCTGCTTCAGGTTGGCCCTCAGGTCCATGCACACCTTGTGCTTGGAGCCCAGCAGGGCCTTGAGCATGGCGTCAGCCGACATGCGCACCCTCCGCAGCGGGGGCCGCTTGAACTTGCCCCGCAGATCAAACAGCTTCTGGTTCATGTCCTCCAGCTGTGGGCAGGAGAGCCAGGTGGAAGCCTGAGGTCCTGGTGGCCTCGGCCTCCCTGGCCCGCCCACTTGCCCGCTGGGCTACTGCCTGCCTGCCTGCTGCCCGCCTGCGCCCACCACTCACCTCCTTGCTGCTCTTCTGCACCTTCACCTCCATGTCATACTTCTCCTCTTCAGCCGCGTCGATCTTGGCGTGCAGCTGTTTGCAGAGCTCCTAGGGGTGGGTGTGGGGGCGGGTGACCGTCTTGACACTTGGCAGCCATGGTCACCTGCCCCTGCCCTGACCACCCCGCTGGCCCTCTTGACAAAAGTGGGGAAACTGAGGTAGCAGGCAGGCCTGCTGCTGGGGAGGCGAGGCGGCCTGGGAGGGGCCAGTACCTGTACTTCTGACATGGAGCCCGGGATGTGCAATGGCGGGCAATGCTCTGACAGGTAGTTCTGCTTCTCGGCCTCGCGGCGGCTCTCCTCCTTCTCCAGCTCTGTGGCCGCTATCTGCAGCATCACGCTCTGTGGCGGGGCAGGCGGTGAGGGGGCTGCAGCTGGCCCCCCTGCAGACCCACCTGGGCGGCCCCCGGGGAGCCCACACCTACCTTCAGGTGCTGCCTGCGGGCCGTGATGGCCCTGTTCCGCTTCTGCAGGGCAGGGGACAGGGGGTTGAGTCAGGGCCTCCAGGCCTGGAGCACCCCCACCCCTCTCCAGGCTCCCTGGCCAGGTCAGGGGCTCCGGCTCAGGGACCAGTGGAGCCTGGGAGCTCCCGAGGCCATGATGGGCAGTCTGGGCCTCACTGGCCCCAGACCTTGCTCTGGGACACGCTGTGTGGTGTGTGACACTTTGCCCAGGTGGCACATGGTGCTGGGAGGCCAGAGGTTGGGGGAGAGGAAGCCTCAAGGCCAGTTGGGGGCAGGTCGGCCGGCGAGGTAGGGGCAGGAAGTGCAGGAATCAGAAAGAAGAAGTGATTCCCCTGTGACCAGGCCACAGCTGCACTTCCCCTGCCCCAGAAGGCTCGGGGCAGCCACTTCCTCTCTTTCGGCTGCGTCTTGGTGGGTGGGTGGGGCACTTTTGCCAGCGGGGAGGGCCGGGCCATATTCCCTGGGCCTTAGGGCCTTGAGGCTGTGACCGATGACCTATCCTGAGTTGGGGGAGCTCCCTCCTCGTCCTGTTTTGAGCCCCCAGCAAGTACTTACCTCCTCACTGTCCAGGGAGAGAGGACGCAGGCAGGACGGGGAGAGAAGACAGAGGTTAGGGCCATGTCTGGCGGGGTCGGAGCGTGTGATGGGGTGGACAGGGCAGGAGGTGGGCAGGGTCACTGTATGGGGGTACAGGGGTGCTACTTACTCTCCCATCCTGAGGTCCTGAGCTTGGAGCCTGTGGGGAGAGGAAGGAAGGGGTGTTGGCCGGGCCCTTGCCGCCGCGATGCCTGTGCCCATCAGGTGGTGAGGGGTTCAGGCCTCCCGATGACAGCCCCTCCCTCCCACCCCCTACTCTCACCTCCTTCAAGGACAATGTCTTGGAATTCCCCAGGGTGAGAAGTAAGAGGAGAAAGTGTTCCCAAAATGTCCCAGGCATAGCCTGAGGAGCTGCAGCTGTCCCCGAGGGAGGGCCGGATGGGCCAGCACAGGTGGCCTCCTCAGTGACGCTGTTATTTTTAACCCTCTGTCTTTGGCTTTGGGCCTAAGTGCGTGGAAGAAATCGCTCCTCAGTTTGGCCTGGGGGTTCAGGTTTTGGGGTTTCTTGACCCCTAAACTCTCCTTCCAGGGTCCCCAGAGATGAAGCCTGGTGGTCAGGGCCTGTCTAGAACCTGCCTCGCACTAGAGCTGCCTCCCCAAGCGTCTCCTTCTCACTCCCGGATCCGTGCAGGCCCCCAAAGAGGGCTGCTGGCGGCATCCCCCAGGCCCCCAGACCCCTGCCCCAGGGAGTCCTCCCTCAACTAGCTCGAGCCACATCCTGTGCCCCGGCCTTGGTGGGCCGGGCTGGGCCTCACCTAGAATCTGGGCAGCAGGGCTGGGAGCGAGGTCAGGCCGGCAGCAGTGAGTTGGGCTGGTGGGCCCAGGGGGAGGGGTATAAATGGCCTCCCCCAGGCTGGGCCCCTGCTCGGAAAGGGCATGGAGTCCTCCTCAGACCAATGGGGGCGCGGAGAGCCGCAGAGACCTCCCCACCTGTCCGGCCGCCTGGCCTGGCCGCGTGCTGCCGCCCAGTCCAAGAAGTCTTGGTGGGGGATGCCATGGCTGGGCTGCTCTATTTAGGGCTTGGTGACGCGCTGGAGATGCCTCTGTTGTTCTTGTAAGGAGCCTGAGGACAGTGTGCCTGGCTTTGCCTGTGGCCTCGGCCGGGCACACGGCTTGGGTCAGCTGAGGGGTCACTGCGAGGATCCACACCTCGCCTCAGCCCATCTCGCCCGAGGTCAGCGTCCAGCCCACCGACCTGGCTGCTTGCTGGGTGACAGCCACAGCCTCTCCCTGCTGGGCCAGCTTCCCCACTCAGCCCCTGCAACGGGCCGTTTCCCACTTCAGCCCAGGCCTGACCCCCTTCGGCAAGCCTGGCTCCCGGGGTGAGGCCTGGACTTCCAGATGTGGCCTTCCAGGCTCCGCCACGTCGGCCGAGGGCTGGCGGACTGCCCCCTCCTTGCGTGATGCTATCTCCCTGCCTGGGGAGCAGGACCAGGAGTGAGGGGCACGCCGCATGTGCCTCTGGGCCCCTCCCAGCCTTCCCGGAACTGTCCCCTCGCCGGGCGACTTGGAACACATCCTTCAACCTAAGGAGAGTGGCACCACCTGCCTTGGGAGCCTCTCTGAGCTGCGGGGGCTTGGGGCCCGCCTGGCTGCCCGGGCAGGCCTGGCATTGCCTTCTCACTCAGACCCTGAGGCGGCCCTCACCCCCCCAGCCCCCAGGCCCCCACCCTGCAGAGGCCCCCTGGACCGTGACTTGGCACCCTCTCGGAGTGGGGGCTCTTGGCCCCAGCCCTGCCGGCTTCGCAGCCCCATGGGGAGGATCAGAGGAAACAGCAGCGTGGAGGCTCCAGCCGCTAAGGCAGCCCAGATGTGTGGGGCCTGGGAGGGGCATCCGGCCAGGACTGAGCCCCTAAAGGCCCCAGCAACTTCCGAAGGCATCTGCTGCCCCCTGCTGCTCATGCGGGGAAGGCCCTGCAGTGCTGGTCTCTGAGGTGCTGGGGGTCCTCCCTCCACGCTCACCGGCCCCCAAACACCACTGCCCACTCTGTCCCTACAGGGCTGGCTCTAGCTCGCCCCATCCCATGTGGTCCCGACTCTCTGGCCCCCACCTCCCAGGTCTTCCCACGTGGCCCGGGGGTGGGGATCGGTGCTCGTGGGCAGGTTTCCCACCCCTACCGGAGGGTCCGGCAGGGACCAGTCAGAGGCCTCAGGGCCTGGCTGACTCTGGAGAGGAGCCCCTCCCCTGTCATTGTGGGGGGGCCCTGGCGAGTGGAGCCAGGCCCTGTTTCTGCATCCCCTCCAGGCTCCAGCCAGACACACAGTGGCAGGAGAAGGCGTTTATTGCAGTGGTCCTGCAGGGCGGCCTGGGCAAGTGCCTGGGCTCAGCGGGGAGACCGAGGCACGCGGCGCGTTCAGGAGTGGGGCAAGGGCAGGTGCAGGCGCAGGCGGGGCTGCAGGGCCAGCACGCGGTCCACCTCCCTGGCTGGCTGCAGGGGGTGCCACTGGGCAATGGGCCGCCGGGCGTGGGCCAGCATGTCTGCCCAGTGTTGCAGGGGCTGCCCCGAGGCCCGGGCACCCAGGTGCACCTTGCCCACGGGCTCAGCCCGGAGCGGCAGGCCGCGGTCCCAGACGGCCAGCACCAGGTCCACATTCTGTGCAGAGACAGGCCATGTGTCGGAGTTGGAGGAGAAAGACTGTGGTCTTCGTGGTCCGGCACTGGGTCCCGCTCTGCCCCTGCCTCCCGGAGACCCACCTGGACCTGACTGAAGGGCACCATGAAGGTGAAGGCCTCGTTGAAGTAGGGGGCAGCCGTGCCCTTTCTGGTGGCTGTCTTTCTCTTCTTCCACTTCCTCTGGTTCAGCATGAGCTGGACCTTCACGTAGGGCTCTGGGAGGGTAAGAGGTGCCGAAGGGGCATCCCAGGGCTCAGGGCTGAGCACAGGCCCCCGCTCTGTACACCAGCATGGGCAGGTGTGACCCTCACCTGCCAGTCCTGGACGCAGGCCTCGAGCCTCCAGCACCACCACGGTCAGCCGGCCTGAGCTGGGCACGTACCGGAGGGAGAAGCACAGCTCTGCCACCTGCTCGGGCTGCGGGCGGCAAGAGGAGCTTCAGCCCGGGAGGGTGATTCTGGCCGAGTTGGGGTTCAGGCTCCCGCAGCTGCTGCCCACCAGGCCTCAGGGCCCTGCCAGCTCTGCCTTGGGCTGTGACCTGGTGATCAGCACCTCACCTCAGTGGCAGCCGGCGGACCCAGCGGGTACCAGTGCTCCAGAACGTGCTGTAGATCCACGGTGCCCAGTGGCAGGCGGAGCTCACCCAGGGGCTCATGCCCCGAGAAGCGCTTGAAGTTGAAAAGCTGCACCTGCAGGGTGGTCCCCGGCAGCTCCGCCTGCGGGATCTGAGGCAGCGGCGTGAACCAGGCCCTGCTGCCCCAGCCCAGGCCCACCCAGCTGTCCAGGCCCACCCAGCCGACCATCCCTGACTCACGTGGAAGCAGCAGGTCTCGTCAAACACAGGGCAGAGCGTGCCTCGGTGCACCTTTGTCTCGTGTCTGTGCCCGGACTGGGTGGAGACGCTGACCCGCGCATAGGGGTCCACGGTGCCCCCGGGCCTCAGGTCGGCTGCCTGCCTCAGGCCCACCCTGATCTGGGAGCCAGGGGGTTGGGCTCAGCCAAGGGCCCCTGCCCTGTCAGCTCCCCACCACCCAGGGCACAGGATTTGCACTCCACCCATCACCCCTTCCGGAAACTCGCAGAACCGCTGGTCCTGCACAGCAAGGTCCTTCACCTCCTGGCTTCCAAAGTCGTACTCCAGGGACAGCTGCAGGCGCCCCCATTGCTGAGCGCCCCCCGGACTGGACTCCAGGCTATCCACATCAGGCTGCACCTGGAGTGAGTCGGGACAAGGGGCAGGTGGTGCTGGCATCATGCCCCATCAGAGCCCTGGGCTCCCGGGCAGCACTACATGACAGGCCAGGCCAGGCCACCTGACAGGCACAAACCCTTGGCTTCGCTGTGTGCTGTGTGAGACCAGCCAAACCCACCTCAAACATGGGGTCTGTGGTATCCCTTGCCTTCCTCAAGAACCCGCTGTGGCTCCCCTGGGCCCATGGAGCAGCCCCTGTTGCGTGACCTCCTCCTCACCTCCGTTCACCCACTTTCCCTGCCAGGAAGGCCCTCGCCGCCCCTGCCTCTGTGGGGGCTAAACCGTCCCTGGGGCTGAACTCGCCTTGCCGCCCTAGGCTCTGGAACCTGGATTTCGAGCCCTCTCTGGACTGAGCGAGAAGGGGCCGCTCCTCACCAGGTGGGTGGTGGTGATGCCACGGGCACTGCCCAGACCCACCGCCTCCTTGTCCCTGGGCTTCTTCCTGTGGCGGCGGCAGCAGCAGCAGGCAGCACAGAGGAGGCAGGAGACGATGAGGACGCCCGCGGCAAGGGCGCCTGCAATGAGAGCCCAGCGGGGCCCTGGGGTAGAGGCCGGGCTGAGTGCATCTACGGACAGCTGCAGCCCCCACTTGGCTGGGTTATCCCCACACCCCTCTTGGGAGTCCCACAACTCACAGGGGGTCCCGGCGATGAGGTCTGGAATAAGCCCAGGTATAGCTGTGGTACCAGCTGGGGCCAGGGTACTGGGAGAGTCTGGTGGGTGCCCCATCTTTCCACCCTGCTGGTTTGGAGGAAGCGGCCCAGGAGGCTGGGTCAGCTGGGAGGGCAGCCCCTCCAGCCCCTGCCCGGTGCCCCATCTGCCTGGCAGCAACCAGTGCTGGGTCTGCTGGGCAAGGAAGCAGCCTAGGGTGGCCAGGGGCGAGGGCTCTGCACGGCAGGAAGCTGAAGGGAGGGAGGCTCTGGACCCTGGCCAAAGCTCCAGTTTAGCTGCCCAGGCCCAGCCTCCTGGCCACCTCCCCACAGCCCCCAGCCCCAGCCAAGCAGGCAGGGCCTGGGCAGCCTAGTCCCTGCCTTCACCGGCCCTCAGAGCACCCTTGCCCCCACTGTAGGATGCTTCCTCCACCAGGAAGCCCTCTCCCTCCCTGCTTCTCTCTCCCGGGTCCTGGACCCTGGGCCCTGCCTGGGGGGTCCCATCTCATCCCTGGGGGTCTCATCTCTGCGGTCCCATCACTTCCTTGCCCCTACCCCAGGACCCACCACAGCTGGGGCCCACTATGGTTTCCAGCCGTGCAGGTGGAGCATGCTCACTGCAGCCCCCAGGAACATGGAAGCCCAGAGGGGTCTGCAGGGTCGTGGGGCGAGGAGCAGGGCTGGCTGTTGGGGGAGCTCACTGAGCAGGCCTCAGCTAAAGGTGCATTCCTGGCAGGGGCTCAGGGCCACAGCGCCTGGGGACGAAGGTGAGGTGGGGGCAGGTAGGGGCAGGGTGCAGCTGGGAGCGGCCAGAACATTCCTCACACACTGACTCAGCCGCCGCCTGGACTCGCCCACCTGCCTGCCTCTGGCCACCCTTCGGCATGTGGGTAGGAAGGAGGGTGGGGTGGGTGCAGCTGCTGGCCCCTGTACCCGCCTTCCTGGGGCCTGGGGAGGGAGCACACCTGGACAGACTGGCTCCTCCCACCTACAGGCAGGGGAACCAGGGTGCCACATGGGGCCCACGGTGACCCCGGGCCCGGGGTGACTCCCCAGCTCAGCTCTTCCCTGACTCCACCCGCCCCGGAGAGAAGCAGCCGGCCAGGAGACTGTGTTCCTCCACGTCGGCGCCTCCCCTGCTTTGCCCACAAGAGCCTGGGGCCTTCTCGTCATGTCCAAGTCAGCCTGGCCTTAGGGGCCCAGTCTGGGCCATCCCTTTGGGAATAAGCAGCTGTTCAGGCCAGATACCCTCACCTATGCAGCCCCCCAGTCTGGGGCAGAGCAAGTAGACAGACAGAAAGGGACCCCACCCTGACTCCAGACACACACACACACACACACACACACACACGCGTGCACACACGCACACAGCATCAGTGCCCCACTCCTTGGCAGGCTGGGAGAGGCAGGCACACTCCCAGAACGGACCCAAACCCCCAGTGTTCAGAGGAGGGGGCTGCAGCTCAAAGAGGGGAGAGAGGGTCCAGGTTCCAGCCCCACATGCATGTTGTCCCTGTGAGGTCAGCAGGCCAGGTGTTTTATAGGCGAGTGGACCGAGGCTGGGAGCTCTAGTTTTGTGGCTTTGGAGGCCATCATGGCCCTGGAAGCCCAGCCTGTCCCCAGAGCAGAGGGGCCAGCACTGTGGAGGGATTAGAGGTACAAAAGGAGATGCGGAGGTCAGGGCCAGCTTTCCAGGCTGCATCCTGTGCACAGGGCCCCATGCTCAGAGAGGTCCCTGCTTGGTTTAATGCGTGCTGGGGCCATCTTGAAATTCTTAATTTTGGAACGAGACGCTGCACATTTTCATTCTGCACTGGGCCTCACAAATTACAGAGCTGGTCCTGTTCGGGGGACCCCTTGCATGAGTCACCTGCAGATGGAGTGTGGGTGTACTGGCCTCGGCAGCCCCTCGGCCCCTGGGGGACACTCCCAGGTGGGTTGGGCGTCCCACACGTGGCTGGCAGAGTGCCCCTACTGGTGGCTGATGGAAAGGGCTGGGTCCACAGGGTCCCTGGAGCAGGACTGTGCCAGCCAGATTCAAACAGGCCACTGCCTCCTCCCCACGTGGAGTTTAAAGGCAACTTCTCCTTTTGAAATGTCAGAGCCTGTGTACGTGCTGAGATTAAAGTAGCTTCACTGGAGATTTTTATGGTTGAGATTCCGGATAAGTTGCCAATACAGAATCTGCATCTGTGAGTGCAGGCATGTGTGTGTGTGCGTGCACCCCTCCCCTGTGCCCCTGCTTTGCTGGCATCCCCCCCTCCTTTAGTCTAAGAACGGTCAGGGCGGGGAGATGAGAGCACCCCTGCAGTGATTTGCTGCAGCCGGCCAGCGGCACTCCTGGGCCAGCCTGGTGACCTTGTCCCCCGAGGAGCACAGGGGCCACCCAGAAGCTGTTCTGGAGTACCCCAGGACCCTGGGGGCGCTGGCTGCCGACGCTGAGGGTCCCAAGGCCTGGGGAGGTGCAGGGTCCCTCTGGACCGCCGGGACCCGAAGGAGGTGCAGGTACAGCAGGCGTGTGGCCACCAGGTGGCGCCGTCCACCCCTCAGGACCCGGCCTCCCTCCCGGCTCCTGGGGACAGCGCCCTGGAGACCCTTGGGCGCTGGGGGCTCTCAGGTCTCCCGGCCCTGATCTGGGAATTCCCCGCCCTCCCTGCCTGAGCCTCCGGGGCCGCTCTCCCCGTTGTCTAGCTTTGGCTGTCCATCTCCTGTGGCCCTGCTGGGAAAACCTTCCCTGGGAGTTCACACCATGTTTTCCCAGGAAAGGGAGACGGGTCCTTCCTCCCTGGCTCCCCGCCTGGCCACAGCTCCAGGAGGCTCCTTAAGGCTCTGGAAGGCAGCTCGGCTCTCCCCACGAAGGTGGCTGCTCTGCTCCTGCAGCTGCCAAGCTGCTCTGCATCCCCATCCTGCTCACCCTCCAAGGCCAGTGTGAGCCCATCTCTTCCAGGTAGCCCTCCCTGGTCACCCCAAGGACCCCGAGAGCTGCCATGAGGTTTTGTGCTAAATCCCACCCCTTGGGACCCCCAGCCCCCACCAGGCAGAACAGGGGCGAGCCCCTCCTTTAGACTTCTTGTTAGCCCAAGACCAGGCACTGTTTCAGGCTTGCTAATGCTTCCCTCTACGGTGAGTCTACATGGAATGCTTTCTGCTTCCGTGGGAGCACCTTTCCGTGGGCCCTTCCTCTGGAAAAGCAAGATTTCCCCGAGTGCGGGGGCTGGCAGCCCCCCAGGTGTAAAAGCTCTCACCTGACACCCACCGCTTCCTGTGGCCGGCCAGCCACCAGGCCTTCCTCTCAGACACCCGGAGGCCAGTCCAGCTCTCAGACAGCACTGCCTCTGGTGACGGGGAACTCTCTCCTGGGGGAGGAGGGGTGCGGGGGGCAGGGCTGCAGGAGCCCCACCTTGTGGCCACAACTGCTGGCCCGTGAGAACTGGGCAACTCCCCGCGTTAGGAAGGTCTCCCCGAGGCGCAAAGGCCGAGCATTTGGGCTCCAGCCTGTTTCCAAGGGTCTCTTGGTGCTGGGGGCACCCTGAGCCCTACGCAGCTTTGCAGGAGGGGGTGATGGGCCCTTCAGGCTGGCCTTGGTGAGGGGCAGTAGGAGGCGGCCTGGCTGAACCTGGTTTGAGCAGGTTCTGCACGCCGGGAGGGGTCCTGAGGTGCAGGGCCGCCTGGCTTGGAAGAGGGCACCTCAGGTGCTGTGGGTCGTGGGGGAACTAAGTGTGAGGAGGGTAGGGGCCAGGTGGGGCTGCCCTGGGCAGTGTGGGGCAGGGGGCTCACAGAGAGCCAGGAGGGCCTGCTTGGCTCTGCCGCTGCCTCCGCTTCCAGCCCCAGGCACCCTCAGGCAATTCCCCTCCGTGCCTTTGGCTCCTACTGGACTAATCCAACCCCTTGAGTTCTTGGTTTCCTAATGAGCAACCCCCTTATCAGCTGGGCGAGTGGCTGGAAGTCCTCACTCCGATCTAACCTCAGTGCCTCTTGCTTCAGTTGGACCCCCGAGCAGGGCCTATAGCCTAAGCTTCCCTCCCTCTGCTCTGGCTGGTTAGTCTGGTCTGGTCACTCTAAACAAATCCGTGACCCGGGCCTACCGTGGAGTGGCCACCCCAGGCCAGGGCGTTTCCTCAGAGCCTTTATCTGCTGCTGGTTAATGCTTAACGGGAAAACCTATCCCAGCAGGGCCGGCCCTGTGGGGCTGGTCAGGCAGCACGTATGGAGGACATAGCCTAGGCCCCGAGGATGTTTTTGTGCCACAGCAGGGGGACGTGTGGGCACACATGTGCACTTCCGGGCCCCTCCGGTCACACGCGGCCCTGGGCGTGTGGGGATGTGTACATCCTTCTGGTGTTTGCACAGGGCAGGGGTCTGTCTCCTAGTCTGACCCAGTCTGGGATGAGAAGGGCCGGAGGCTGCCCTAGTGGGGCTTTTAGGCAAGCGAGGGGACACGTGCAGGGGGTGGCTCGACGCCGGCCCCAGGGTACAGCTGAGCTACGTGCCCCGCGCGCAGTTCTCTGCAGCCAGCTGTGTAGGGGCTTTGTACCTTCCCCAGTACATGGGCGCCTTCACGCCAGACGGGCGTCTGAGGTTCCAGGGCAGGAAGGAGAAAACCAAACAGAGCTGGAGCCCGAGGCCAGCCCCGAGGCCCCGAGACGGCGGCTTGGCAGCCAGCAGCTTCGTGGAGACCCTGGTGGGGCTCCTGGACGGGGACGCTTCCTCTGAGGTCGCCTGGGGAATGCTTGAGGTTGGAATGCAAGGCGAACGCTGGTTCTGGGGAGCCAGGAATCACTGGCACACAAAGAGAAGTCTGCTGAGTGAGCGTGTGTTTGCCCGCCCACTCTGACCCCAGCTGCTGCGCCCCGCAGGGCTGAGGCACCCTCATCAACTGGGGCCTGGGATGGCTGGGGATGGGGGAGTTCAGCTTGCCATGGTTCTCTGTGGTTTGGGATGCCCTGTGCCCATTCTCTGTGTCTTAGCTTGTATGTGCCACACTCACCTTTCATGCATACTGTCTGTGCCTCTTCATCCCGGGAGGCTGTACCCCATCAACCAGGCATCTGGGGAGGCTGCACCCCATGATCTGAGCCTCCGGGGAGGCTGTACCCCATCACCGAGTCTCTGGGAGGCTCTGCTCCATCTTGGGCATTGGGACCTGCACCCCACTCCTCTGAACATGGCTGGTGCTGAATCCGTGGGCTCAATTCCTATCCTCTGAGAATTTGCCTCTGGATTTTGGCGATGAAACCCCCATGTCCTGAAGTGTCTGGGTGTCTTCCTGTCACCTGGAAGTCGGGGGGCGTGTAACCCACTCCTCAAATGGCCGTTATCGCAGCCTCCGTGTCAGAGGATGGGAGTTCTCCGTGTCCTCCCCGCACTGACCTCAT